AAGAAATTAAGAATTTAAGCACTTTCAACCCGAACAAAGCAATACCCAGATTAGGAAAAACACTCCAAAACATGATGAAACAAGGGGCAAAGGTGTTACCTTGAGATGGAGAGTTCCACCACCGAACTCACTGCCACTCTTGTTATGGAGCTCCATCCAAGCCGTGTTCTCGTAGAAGCACGCACCTTTCCAGCTTACGATGTGATTTCGGGACGAAACTGAGCCCACAAATGTTGGCAAAAGGTCCACGGCACTGTTAAGTGAGTTGAGGATCGGCCATGAAACCTGTCTCGGCAATAAAGGGAGAACATCCCGTGGGTGAAACGGTGTTTTCACCGCTTGTACATGTGAGAAGAAGAAGCAAAGTAGCAAGCAACACCGAAGAAAATAGGGAGATGCCATGACTGCGAGCACGAAGAAGAATAAGAAACACTTGTTTTAGTTTTTTTTTTTCTTATGACAGAACCAATAAGAAAAACCAAACATCAGATATTTTTTTCACTGCAATTATTTTGGTTTCTTGTATAAATATTGTCATTTAGAAATTTCGTTTTCAAAATTGTGACTAAGAAAGACAATGAAAATGGCTTTATGTAACTTCTTTCTCTCTACAACTCAACAAGGAAAGATGGTGATGATTTGTTCTATTTTTCTTTAAAAAAATTTAATAATTATAATCAAAGTGGCAACATAAATTCTTTTTCATTCAATATAATTTTAAATATACTTGACATATTTTGTTTATAGCCAATAAATAACTTTGATTTTGTCTGATTTTGACTCTTTAAATTGACTTTTAAATTAATCAGTATTTGTAATTATTTCCTACAAATCACATCTAAATTATGATAAATAGATTATAAATATAACTTCAATTTTATATTGGAAATGAGTTATATTTTATTCATTTATTTTTTTTCTTAATTTATACGAAATCTTTGAAAAGCATATAAATTTGTGTGAACATAATATTTTAAAAATTATCAAAAAGTTATATCTATAAGTTGAAATTAGAATTATAGTATTTGAAAGAAGAAGAAAATAATAGGGTAAACTAAGTATTTAGTACTTAAATTATCAGTTTTGACTTGTTTTAATACTTAAACTTTTAATTTTTTAAAATCATACTTAATGTTTAGTTTTTATTTCATTTTAGTATTACACTGTTAAAAACTTAATACGTTTAGTACTTAAACTATCAATTTTAGTTCGTTTTAGTACTTAAGCTTTCGATTTTTTTTCAAAACTTAGTTAAAATTTGAATAGGGGTACTAAAAGAAAACAAAAACTAAACATTAAGTATGGTTTTAAAAAATTTAAATGTTTAAGTACTAAAACATGCTAAAACTGATAATTTAATACTATATATGCAATTTACCCAAAAAAAATAATAATAGAAACCAAAATAATGAAAAGAGAAAGAAAGGAGGAAACTTCTGGTATTTTTGACTTCATTTCAACAGTGGGATACCAATTTATCATTGCAATCGAGGTCTGATTTTAAAAAATGATTTAATATATTTATTTTTTTAAAAAAATAATAAAATAAAATTGTATATTAACAATTTATATTTATTTATTAAACATAAATGAAAATATAATCTAAAATTAATTAAATATATTTTGATCGGACAAACTGACAAATTAAATATTCTTACTCGTACCTGATAAAATAAATAAATGATAAAACAAACAAGTGGCTGAATCTTTGAAGGAAGGAGATACTTGGAAGGAACTTCTATTACATATAAAGATAGATATTATATATTTAATATAATATATTTATTTAATATATATTTTATGGTCAATTTTTTAAACATATTTATTGACTAAGTTGTAAATTTTCGAAATACTTTTCAATCAAACATAACTTCTTGAATTTACCCAATGTTTTAATCTTGCTTTTAATAATTCCGATTGCGGTTGTTGTTGTGATTATTACGTAACGCTTTTAATATATATAAAAATCGAGTAAATTCTAATTTTAATTTTAATATATAAATTTATATGAATCTATTAAATGATGTTATTAATAAGTAAAAAATTATGAACATATTTTACATCGTGATCATTTTAAATTATCTAAAAGTAAATTATATAATATATTTATCTTGTAAAGTTGTCGTCTCATTTTTTGAATGGATATGCTTGAAGATATGGGTGTAAATCCGGATATTCGGATTTTTAGATACCGATTATCGGGTATTCAGAACATCAGGATCAGTGATTTCTCGACCCATATCACAACATGGATGTAGCGGGTATCCGGTAATTGGGTACTCGTTTTTTTTTCATTTTTACATTATTAATTTAAAAAAATATACACAAATTTAAATGTTCGAAACTTCGAATTATATACTCCAACATCCGAACATAAAATTTAAAAGTTCGAAATACAAAATCTAATAATTTATAATATAAAATAATCCATTATATATTATATATATATATATATATAATAAACTAACCTGGTACTCGGGTAACCGGATACCTGGAAAAACATAATTTTGTAATATGAGCCCGACCCGGAAAAGTTGGGTCGAGTAATTTTTTTAAGAAAATTACCGGTTTTTTAAAATTCGAGTCAACGAGTCGGCAAGTCAGGTCAATCGGATCGAATATTTCTACTTCAGGATACTTATTACACCTCTATCTGCTGCCTACTTGGAAGCTTCAATTGAAGTTTCATAGGTAAACAAATGAGAAAAAAAGGACAACCCATTTTTTCACTTGAACTATTTTGTAATTACTTTAAATTAATAAAAAATATTTAAAAATATTTATTTATTTTTTTAAAATATTCCTACTCAAAAAGCAAGCGATTTACAATTTAGTCTTATAAGATTATTTAAAAAAAAAACTAAACTCAAAACAGATTATACGTGGGGAAAATAGAGTCAAATTTAAATTAAAATAAAAGGTAAATTACGCATTTAATAACTAAATTATTAGTTTTGATCCGTTTTAGTACTTAAACTTTTAATTTTTTAAACACATACTTGAAGTTTAGTTTTTTTTTCATTTTAGTACCCACCGTTAAAAATTTTAGTTTTTGTTTCATTTTAATACCCCATTCAAAATTTGTCGTTAAGATTTAAAAAAATTAAAAGTTTAGGTCTTAAAATAGATAAAAAAAAATGATAGTTTAGGTACTAAATACGTTAAGTTTTTAATGATAATGTACTAAATTGAAATAAAAACTAAAATACATAGTTTTTTACATAAATAGATCAAACCTGTTTTATTACATGTTTTGAAACGTATTTAGTATGATTTTAAAAAAATTGAAAATTTATGTAATAAAACAGGTAAAAACTGACAGTTTAGGTATAAAATACGTAGTTTACCCTAAAATAAAAGGCAATGGCGTTTTCTAGAGTTTCAAACGATTTGTGTGAGGGGCAGGGATTCACTTAATCTAAAGCCAAACAAACTGTGAGCACAAGTTTACATGGAAGACATTAGCGACTTCAATAGCCCCACGCACCCTTTTCCCACACCACATCACAGCGTTGATTCTATGACGCAAACCTTCATTGGACCAACGCCACTATTTCATGCTCTTAGCATTCATTAAATATTGCCCTTTCATTACACTAAACTTTTAGCTTCTCTTGTGCGGACTCTTTCAATGTCTATCTTGCATCAACACAGGTGCCCGTCGAGGTCTCTAACTCATGTTCCGGCCAGCCCACGGCAAAGCCCTGTTGCACTTCTGACATGTTCGGCCACCACGACCAAGCCTAGGTCTAGTCGGGACCAGTTGGTCATTGAGCCACGGCTCGAGACTAAATTGGACCCGATAACTCCGGTTATCCCTACTGCTGGTCCTCCTTTACCAAATGACCCGAGTTTGCAATCAACATGGTCTCACCGGGCATGGGTGGCGAGCGGTTGCACCACCCTTTCTTTTCCCTTGCCAAGACTGTACTGGCGGCTGCAGATTCGCATATGTGGTTTGAACCTATGGTAGCAGGCTATGCTGGGTACATTTTGGCTGACCTTTTGTCTCGGGTTTACCATTGGGGCATCGACAACTATGGCGATTCATCAACTCCGGTTTTCGGTTCACAAATCGAGGGATTCCAGGGGCACCACAAATGGCCCTGGACTATCACCAGGCGCCAGTTTGCTAACAACTTGCATGCATTGGCTCGTAGCATAACGTTCACAGTCCTCCCCATAGACATTCTTTGCAATGACCCTGTTATTCAAGGATTTGTTACCATGTGCGCTGGTTGCATCATGTTTAGCCAACAATTTCATGCCTGGTCTCATGGCACCAAGAGCAAGCTCCCTCCGTTCGTTGTGGCGCTACAGGATGCCGGTGTGCTCGTCTCTCGGACACAACATTCTGCGCACCATAGGCCTCCATATAACGGCAACTACTGCATCGTGAGTGGAGTCTGCAATGAGTTTCTCGACAAAAACAAGGTTTTCGAGGCATTAGAGATGATCATATTTTTTAAGCTCGGGGTGAGACCCAGATCTTGGAGTGAGCCTGGAACTGAATGGATCGAAGAGACGGATGAAACTCAACCTCAAGTCACAGTTTATTGATTTTTTTCCTCTGATTTCAGTAATAAGAAAATTATAAGCGAACATTTAAATGACATATGTCAATGATTTGCATTCTTGTTGAGTTCAGGCTTTGATGTATATACATTATGTTACACAGGTGATCCTTTACGTTTTCGATCCGTCTGATTTTAATCGATGGTTAAAAAAAGAGTGGTTTTGGACCAATGTAGTAACTTTTAAGGTGCTATCAATTTAGTCACTCTAACAAAAAGTCCTTGTACTTGAACCACCCACAATTGAGTCACCTAACTTCTTTTAGAAGGTTATCAATTTAATCACTTAACTTTTAGAACGTTATCAATTGAGTCACCTAGTCGAAACAAAACAACTTCCGTTGTTACCAAAAAAAAAATAGTCTTTAACATTACTTGTCTTAACAATACAGATAAGTGAGGGCAAGCAAAGGATTGATTGCATCGGTGTAAGACATCAATGATTGGGACTAAAAGTGTACTTATTCGCTAACACTTTCGCTGCAGTACGATGGAGCGGTAGAAGGTTGATATACGAACGGTCTGACGGTGTGGAAATGACCTGATGGGCGATTATAGGTGAACTTGATGCCGGTGCTACGTCCCCCTGGATGGTTGCAGTGATCGTGGAAGCTACTGATTGGTCGTGCCAAGCATGCATTCCATCGGTCACTCTCGGGCATTGTTTCCGCCACGGTGTATATCCCCTTAGCATTTGTGAAAGCTTGATAATTTACTACTTCCCCGGATTTTGTAATGCAAAGTACAGCAACCTCAGCGCCTGCAAGAAAACATTTGTTTTACATAAATATAAGGTAAACCAATAAATCGCATTGATGAGTCAAATACTTCAAGACTCGGTTTGAAATATCAGTTAAGCATCAATGCCGTATTACAGCTCGAAAGACCAAAACAACACAAAACATAGATAATAGTTATTCAACTCTTGCCATCATCGGCAACGGCAATTAAAGAGTTAAAGTGAGGAAGCATTGCTTCCACCTTAGGTCCTTAAGAAAAAGAACAACGGAGGAAGTAGACTCGGAATGCAACCTATAAAGATCACACGTCAATTTTTCTTCAAAAATTACAAAGTTCACTTTCACCTATTAATGAAGAATTCAAGATTCATTCTAGCATCACTAAAGTACGACCATTAACCTTGAGAACAGTAATATCAACCGCAAACAGTTTGAGAAACATCGTAAACATTTTCAAATTTGTTAGAGAGTTTCAGTGAGCTTCCATTTCTTTTGCCACTTACTTCACCAACCAAGCAAAACAAAGGAAGCATCGTCTCGACCAAGGTTAGTCAATGGCATTGTTGTTGCAATTTTACCACATTGGAACACCAATCTATCCTCGACGATTTGCACCAACTTAAACAACAAATCAATTACATAGCTTACTTGTCAGCCATTGCACACACACACACCACATAAGAAAGAAAACGAAATGAAAGATCATGAACATATACCGCCATTCGACATTTTAAGCCAATAACAAAGAGAATTGCTTACACAGACTTTTGGAGGATGCACCCTACACAGAAAGGATTCGTGCTAGAGCAATCAGCTCAGAGACTCTTTCTTGTACATTATAATGTCTATTTACAACACAAATGGCCAGAATTGAAAGTATTGAGCAAGCACCAACCGTAGAAGCAGCTTAGCAAAGCAAAGAAAATCACAAAAAACCCACTCGAACAGGTAAAATTGCAGGACTTGGTGAGCTAATCACACCATCGGAAGGTAATTTTAGAGCATTTCTTTTATGAAGCTAATCATAAATTGTATTAACCCAACACAGTAATTACTTGGTCAAATTCAATGAAAACCATTTCAAGTTAGCATATAATCAACCATTAATAAAAAAAAGGTGCAAACTTTGTACTATCCAGAATCCATAAACCTACCGACAAATGAAAGGGCTGTAATTCCGACCAAAAACCCACTTCAAAATTCAGCTAAAAAAACATAATTGAACCTATCTAACAACTATAATCATAAATTACAGAAAGGGACGGCAGAGAGGAAAAGGAGGAAGAGAAGAACCTTGTATAACATGATCTTCAGGACCAATGGAAGAATCAGCACAAACATCACAGACAACTCTACCATGAATCTCACCAGTCCATGATTTGACACTTGAGATCAAGAATACGGCTAAGACAACAAAACCCAGAACCAGATTCTTGCTCTTTGATTCCATGGCTAACTTTCTTTTTTAGAAACCAAAAATGAGAGCAACCACTGTTTTCTTACCAGAACCGACGCGCGTGCATATATATATATATAACTATTTCTCAGAATTATTAATTTGATTATAAACATATTATATTAATATAAAAAACTATAAATTATTTATCCAAATTAAATATTATTAAAAAATAAATTATTTAAATTGAAATTAAAATGAAGGTCTAATATTATTAGATATATAACAACTTTAATTCATGAAAATTTTAACATAAGTCAATAATTTTGTATTCAAAATTTTCATCAGTTTTCTATACCGTGTAGATAAAGTAATATTTAATAAGAATTGATTTTTTTAAATTAATCTAAGATGTTTACAAATATTAATATATTTTAAAGATTTTAGTTATTGATAATGATCAATTTAAATATCTTACTATCTTTAATGTTCAAATTTATGTATGAAAATAATAATTATTGTTTTAACCAATGAGATAACTTAATTCTTCCTATAACAAGAATTTTACTTGGATTCATGGACAAATGTAATAGATCGAACTTGAACATAGAACAAACAAAGAATCATATCAAAGAAAAGCATCGGATCAGATTAGAAGAGGAAAAACGCATATAATAATAGAAAACCATACTGATTTTCCAGAAAATCTCTTGATAACGAAACAGGTAGTTAAGAAATAAGAAAACTTTCTCTCGGATTCTATCTTTAGCAAGATCCAAGCTATTTTTGGCATTATGGGGTCAATGGGATTTGGAAATGACAGAAGCCAGAACAACAATATGAGAAAAACATATCCGTTTGATCTCCCGAGGGGCCAGAGAAATTGAAGAAAATCCACAGCTCAGCTGTGGATTTTCTTCATACTGGACCATCTCATAAATTTTGATTCAAGGGATCTTTTTTGTTGTTAAAGCAGTCGATTTTTAAGCCTGGGGTTCCGAGGATTTTGTTTGTTGATTCATATCCCGACAGCAACGAAGAAGACGACCGAACAATGAACTGCTTTTCGTGTTGTATGTCGGTAGAGACAATATGCAACAACAGTGACGGAACCGATGAGCCCAGAACACTAAAAGACATGCCTTCGTTTGCCAATATTTCATTCAAGAGTGGTACAAATTTTTCTCCAATTTCATCATCAATCAAACATGTAATGGAAGGAACATGTTTTCTGCATAAGTTTTGTTGACCCTGTTTTATGTTTTTTTCTCAATTCAATCCATGAATACAATTTGTTTGATGAAATGGGTGTTTGAAATGGATGCTAAATTGTTTGCCATTGCCAAGCCCTGTCCACTCCTTGTTTAGGTAACTACGGCCATGGAAATGGATGTACAAGTCTCGGATGTTCGTGTCGAGTCCGTGTTCGACACTCGCACCCGAGGAGTAACATAGTTGAATCCTAGAGCCTAAAGGTGGTTGATTGATTGATGTTTGAACAAAATTTCCTCTTTCTTGGCAGATGGAAGCCGAAAGAGATACATTGCCGAAGAAATAGTAAAAAGGGGTAAAGGCAACACGAGTGTAAAGACTTTTGATTACCGTGATTTATGCACTGCTACTAACAACTTCAACTCAGAGAATCAGCTTGGTCAAGGTGGTTTTGGGAGGGTCTACAAAGGGCAGGTTGAGAACCCGAATCAGGTTGTTCACGTATCCATACATGCATGCATACATACATATCATATCATATATAGATGTGTGTGACGTATAGTTGTTCCATTGTATCAGGTTGTTGCTGTCAAGCAACTTGACAGGAATGGATACCAAGGGAACAGAGAGTTCCTTGTTGAGGTCTTGATGTTGAGTTTACTCGACCATCCTAACCTCGTGACGTTGGTCGGATATTGTGCCGATGGAGATCAACGGATTTTGGTCTACGAATACATGGTTAATGGCTCCTTGGAGAGTCACCTTCTAGGTATGTTTAACATCTAAGGATACTGATGACGTGATTCGGAGCTTCGAAGGCCTTCTTTCCATGATTTGTTCTTTGGATGAGTCTGATATTTGAAGTGTTCTAAACGTATTCAGTTGTTTGTGATTATGGCCTTCAGGTTAGACTCACAGAAGAATCCATTGGACTGGGATACCAGGATGAAAGTCGCAATCGGTGCGGCTAAAGGCCTTGAATACTTGCACGAAAAGACTGATCCCCCGGTGATTTACCGCGACTTTAAAGCATCAAACATATTGCTGGACCAGGATTTCAACCCGAAGCTCTCGGATTTTGGACTAGCAAAGGTCGGTCCGACTGGAGACCAGTTGCATGTTTCCACCAGGGTTATGGGAACCTATGGCTACTGTGCACCTGAGTATGCACTGACGGGCCAATTGACTACGAAATCCGACATTTACAGCTTTGGAGTCGTGTTTCTGGAGCTAATCACAGGAAGAAGAGTGATTGACACTTCGAGACCAACAGAAGAACAGAACCTTGTCAAATGGGTAAGTTTAGAATGTTTTGTTTCTTCTAAACAATCATGGAACATTGTCACAATGTCACTTTTATACGACTCTGATTTCCAAACATATACAGGCAACACCCTTGTTCAAAGATAAGAAAAATTTCCAGCAAATGGTTGATCCATTGTTGAAAGGGAATATCCCAATAAGGGTCTCAACCAAGCACTTGCAGTCGCAGCAATGTGTCTGCCGGACGATGCGGCCGCTCGGCCCAAGATGAGTGACGTAGTAACTGCTCTTGAACACTTAATTGTGGACAAAGGACCAAAAGGAGATAACGACTACGACTACGATGAAGAACAAGAAAGAAAGAAAGAAGAGTAGTCAACAAACAAGAGTAGAGATGGCTACGGACACGGTCGAAAACATCGGACGAAAGGGAAAAGGGAACAAGAAGAGGGTTAATGGAGCTCAATAAAACTCATTTCATGGACTCAAACTTGAAATCTTACGGCATTTCATGGTCTGCATTTCTAAAAGGGTGGCTGCAAAAGGAAGCTCATGGCATATGGCTATGGCATCTTCCAGTTTCATGAAGCTTTTAGCCTTTTTACTATGCCAAGACCTGCAATGTGCAAATCCATCAACCCAAATTTGCTTTTTGTTCCAGTTGGGCTTTTCATTTGCTGAAATTTTATGAAAACTTGATTTGTGTACTCTTTCTAATAGTTAGAATTTGAAGAAATTTCATTAGATAATTTTAGCATGATCCAAGACTTCAAATGTATAAATCTTATTACTTTTAGCATACAAAATTCGTAATCATGTTAACAATATGGGTTGAACGTTAGTCAATTAACGATTTTCATATACCAAATTTGTTTTAACAAAAAATTAAAATGTTTATAAAGTAAAATGTTCCAAAAAGAAAGGAGACACGGTGACTATTTATACAAACATTATAGAGTATTTTTTATCATTATACATTTATTCGATTTTGGTCATTCATTGTTAAAACATAGAGGTGGCAAACAGTCATTCGGATCAGGTTAATATCGAATCGATTGATTTTTTATTTGGATCAACCTTTGGATCACATCAATTCAGATTGAATTGGTTATAGTCTAATCAAATATATGTAGAATTATTGATACATTTTTGTACAAATATGTCTTCTTATTTGTTAATATTATCATTTAGGCTTAATTCAATTATAAGTCTAATCAAGTATATATAGATTTTCGGTTCAAATTGCTTTCGATTTGGATTAATTTCGGACCGGGTTAAACTTGGTTCGGGTTGTTTCAGTTCGAGTTAATTTCGATTCGGATTACTTTCAGTTTGGATATTTTTGTTTCGGGTCAAATTGGATATGAGTCTATATTGGGTCAACTAAATTTTGGATTGAGTACGGTTCGAGGTAGGTATGGTTTGGTTTTCGGATCAAATTTTATCATCATGTTCGGGTTAATATCAAGTATTGCGTTGGGTAAATCAATTATGATAATTAAATTCGGGTCAATTTTACTAGGTCTATTAAAAAATAACAATGATATATGTGATGATACCTTATCAAAATTGAAAAATAAATAAATAAATACTAAGCCATCATTCTTAATTTTTCAATGATAGATGATTAAAGTAGAATAAAAAACATTAGGTATAATTTTAAACAAAATAATAAGTAGATGATAAGAAAACAGAAACTAAATAATAGATGAATTACCAAATAATCAGTTTTCCCTAAAGTTTATTAACGAAAGGAAAAAGGAAAGGGTTTTAGGCTTTCCTTCTTTACCTTCTTTAAATTTTCCCTCCTCTTTCTCCTTCTTCTTCTTCTCTCTCTCTTCATGGCGTCAATTCTGCAAGTCTAACAGTCACAGACTCACAGTCCAACTTGTAAAAACCCTCCAAAATCTCCAAAACCTTTACCCTCCGATCCCCAATATTTTTCCATATTTGCCACTCGCAGACACCCAACAAAAAGCAAACAAAACGGCTCCTTGTATAGTAAACAACCCTAGCGGCAAGCTAGCTAGACTTGCAGATATCATGACTTCCGTGGGGAGTTTTTCTTCCTCTTCCCAAGCTGCTGCTAACCCTTTCGGTAGACCGTTTTGCCCTCCTCCTTGGTTTTCCCGGTTCCGTTCCGTACATTTTTTCTTGGCTTCTTCTAGAGCCTTTCAGAGGTTCACTCTTCGACTTCAACGCCTTTTTTTCGTGTTGTTTGGGGGGAGGTTGAGCTAGTTTCTTAGACTATTTGATACCCGTTTATCCTTTTAGAGACGTCCTTTTTTTTAATTGGTTTTCGTTTCATTAGCTGATGCCTGATGCTTCGTGTTTTAGAGGGGTTTGGGGTTTATGTAATGGAAAAAAGTGTCATTTTTATTGCTTCTGTGCATTTTCAGTGCGCGGGTGTCTGTTTTTTGCCTCTCTTTTTGCTGTTCCCCCCCCCCCTCTCGTTATCTGGGTTGTTTTAGATTATGTGCTGCCGTTGCCTATTATAGAGGTTTTGGGGATTAGTGATGGAAAGTTGTGTTAAAATATGACATAAGATGTACATTAGCCATTGGAATGGAAATGCAGTAGTGTTTTAGTTTCTAGATTGTGATTTTCCTTAAGGAAATGACAAATGAAGTGGAGCTAAATGCTAATGAATTTTTCGTTACTGTGATGCTTTGATTGGAATGCTAATTGGGATATGCATGGAATTTGGATTTCCCTCTTTTATTGTTTGATTTCTAATAGATGACTTTAGAATATAGATGACATGCTAGAACAATGCTTCATTCAATTACTAGGAACTTATTCTATTTTGACTTTTCTTTTCTTTTTTACATTGTAGGCGAGAAATGTGCACAATGCAGAGTGTTCACTATGCTTTTCTCGGTGCGACCATGTCAAGTAGTTCCCGTCATTGCCATCATCCCAAAGATATGAAACTTAAGGTAGCTGCTTCTGACTATGCTAGGATGGTCCACCCTGAACCAGATTGGCATGTTTCTGATAACAAGTGCAAAGGAGCGATTGTCGACCATAGAAAGAATGAAAACCCAGCATCTTATGGAAAGTCTAGAATGGCATCATTTCGAGTGAATGATTTTACTTCTACTCTGAAAATTCCTAGCATACCCAATACTGAGCTCTCATGGGAAACAGAAGTTCGCAGGATGAAGAAGGATAAGGAGATGGAAATGGAGAGCCTTGAAGGCTGTAGTTCTTCCTCCAATTCCCAACAATACTTCAATTTGAAGCTTACTGCCCCACTATTTAAAGCAACTGATAACGAAGGATCAGTTTCCAGAAATAGTGGGAAAAATATTAGTCTTTTTGGGAGTCATTGCACACCCTTACCAACCAGTAATACTCAAATGTCTATTGAAAATCTTGTAGATACTGATGAAATAAATGGTTTTAAGCAGCTGAAGGGTTCTAGTAGGACTGTAGCCTCAACTAATGGATCTTTCCCGGGGCTGGTCTTGGACGACCACCAAGAACTTGAAACCGGTGATGATACGGATTTTCTTTCTAAGGATCATTCTTCACGCCATCTGACCATCACTAAGCAAATTTCTAGGGCCAAAAGTACATCTGCCAAAAAGATAAATGGTTCCAAGCAGTTAAAAGTTTCAATTGGACCAGACGTTTCAAGTGACGACTTTTACAAGGGGCAGTTTCGGATGACATACAAGACAGAGCACATATGGATCCTAACATGAACACAATGGAAAAAGTCAATGAAAAATGGGGTTGCTAGCATTGAAGAAACTCATCTAGTTTCTCGAGAAAATATTCACAAGCAGCTTGCTAGAATTTATGACCAGGTTCTTGTTGTAGATAATATCACTGCAGCAAAGGAAGTTGTTCTGATGCTTACAACTAAATATAGGCATCTTGTTCATGCATGTGATACTGAGGTATTAGTTCTGCTATTTCTCATCTCTTTTACCATTTTGTTTTGTTTTTTACATGTAGTACATGACTACATGCTGTATGAAATATGAATCTGCTCCAAGCATTATCCGGTCTAAATGTAATAAGCTATTTTCTATTTGCTGATGTAGAATATTTGCAGGTATCTAATATTGATGTGAAGCAAGAGACGCCTATTGATCATGGCGAGATAACATGTTTCAGTATTTATTCTGGAGAAGATGCAGATTTTGGAAATGGGAAATCTTGTATCTGGGTTGATATCCTAGATGGTGGTGGCAAGGATCTTCTGAAGGAATTTGTTCTGTTTTTTGAAGATCAATCCATCAAAAAGGTGAATGCGCCTTGCATTTGCTCACTTCTCTTTCTTCCTCGTGTTTCCCCTGATCTGCTGTACCTTTTTCTTTGCTTGTTGTTGCATAGTCCATTAGAGCACTATATCACACTAAGTCCTGAAACAAACTTGATTTTGATGTATAGGTGTGGCACAATTATAGCTTTGACAGTCATGTTATTAATAACTATGGGCTTGAGCTCTCTGGATTTCATGCTGACACAATGCATATGGCACGGTTGTGGGACTCATCGAGACGTACAATGGGCGGTTATTCTCTTGAAGCTCTTTCTGGTGACAAAAATGTTATGCAAAGAACTAAATTGCGCAAAGAAGAGAAGGAACTGATTGGTAAAACATCAATGAAAACCATCATTGGCAAGAAAAAGGTGAAAAATGATGGATCTGAGGGAAAAAGGATTACCATTGCCCCTGTTGAAGAGTTAAAGCGGGAAGAACGCAAATTATGGATTTGTTATTCCGCCTTAGATTCAATAAGCACCATGAGACTTTATGAGAGCTTGAAAAACAAACTTTTAAGCATGTCTTGGGTATTTGATGGTAAACCTGTTCCTGGTAAGTCCATGTATCACTTCTATGAAGAGTATTGGCGACCATTTGGTGAGCTGCTTGTTAAAATGGAACATGAGGGTATGTTGACTGATCAAATGTATCTTAATCAGCTAGAGAAGGTTGCTAAAGCAGAGCAAGAGATTGCTGCTAATAGGTTCCGCACATGGGCATCCAGATATTGTGATGATGCCAAGTATATGAATGTTGGAAGTGATACTCAGCTCCGTCAACTTCTTTATGGTGGCATTCTTAACAGGTACTAATTACATATTTTGTGTACAAGAACATCAATATTAATCAACATATTGCAATGAAATTTAGACATTATATTGAATAAATGAGCAAGTTGCATTTTATCATTTCCTAAATCAGAAATACTACTAATATCCAATTACATGTCTTGATTTGAGTTTCTTGCTGTTAAGTCATTGCGAATTGTATTGTTGTTGGTGGTTGTTTGAGAGCAGTGCACGACCATGTTACTCAGACTTGGGTGTGAGTGTTGGGCATGGGTATCTTTCGGGTATGGTTAGATTTTTCGTAACATTCTCTTGTATTTTGAGGATGCTTGAAGGTCATATCTCCATATTCATGTATTGCACACGAGTATAGGATATGGGTATTGATCTGGGCAACATAGGTGGAAGAAATTCAGAACTTGATGTTGCTTATGAATGTTTATTTCCTATAATCTATGGAATTATTCATACCATCAACTATCATTATTCATTATCCTGAAGATCTGCACGTCTGTTTGTTAAGGATCCAAATCTGAGTCTTTCTGATTAGAAAACTTTCAGAGTGCCGGCAGAGAGGGAGAGAGTCTGTTGAAAATTTTGAAGTGAAGTTTCTAATCATTAACTTGATTATTTCCTATTACAGTAAGGATCCAAATGTGAGTCTTCCTGATGAGAAAATTTTCAAAGTTCCAAATGTCGATAAAGTGATTGAAGAAGGCAAAAAGGCTCCCACTAAGTTTCATAATATTAAGCTGCGTAGAATTGGTGTTAAGCTCCCTGCTGAGATTTACACTGCCACTGGTTGGCCCTCGGTTGGTGGTGATGCCTTGAAGAGCTTAGCTGGGAAGGTTTCTGCTGAATATGATTTCACAGAAGACACTAATGATGGTGATGTTGATAATCTTCCTAAAACAATGACTGATGTTGACACATCTGCTTATGGAACTGCTTTTGCTGCATTTGAGGATGAGGAGAAGGGGAGGGAGGCATGCCATGCTATTGCTTCATTATGTGAAGTTTGCTCTATTGATTCGTTAATATCCAATTTCATTCTCCCCTTGCAGGTGATTATGATGCCTCATTGATTGTTCATACACGCTGATCTGCTTTTACAGTTTATTTCCTATGCCTGTTTTTCCTCTTTAGTATCTGTTTTTTCCTTATTTTTTTAATTGAGAGCTTGTGCTAATGCTTATTGGTCGAAATTTCTACTCAATATAAGAGCTGTGCATATGTCCACAATGTGCATCATTATGTGTGGTAATAATATTACGAGGATGACAAAGTGATTACATAATGCCTTTTCATGTCTGATATTACTAGCGGAGGAAGCTATCAAAATTCTGGTCTGATATTTGATCGTAACTAGTGAGTACTGCTAGGTGTCAACAAATTGGTAAAATCATGTATACTGCCAGGGTTAAAATCAAAAGACTGTGTAATTATAATGGCAGTTAAACTATATGCTAAGTGGTCAACAACCTGCCATACAATTGTGAATACTTGTTCGGCTAAGAAGATAACTTTGAAAATTAAGAAGGCTAAATTCTTCCTTAACTTGAGCTAGTATTTCCTTTCCCTTAATTAATTTTGTAAAATAACATTTTGGATGGTTTACAAGGGGAGTTCTCTCTTTACCGCAGGGGAGTAATGTGTTAGGCAACAGCGGGCGTGTTCATTGTTCACTGAATATCAATACAGAAACTGGGCGCTTATCTGCAAGGAGACCAAATTTGCAGGTTCATTCTTTTATTTTGTTCTCTGCCATTGTTTTAGCTAACATTTGAATTATTAGAACCTCAAGGTTCTATATATGTCTTTAACCGCTATGTTACCTGGATAGCATTAGACCCAAATTTTATTTGTGATGAAGCACAGTGGACTATTGTTTTTTTCTTTAGATTATATATAGTCTAAATATTTATATCCCAGGATAGTTTTCCACTATGTAATCATATGGTTGTTTCCTCCACAAAATTTGTCATAGTAAGGCATAAAGAAAAGAAAATGATAATTTTTGTTACTCTTCAAATCCTACTCGTGCCTGCTGGATTGGGATGGAAACCTATAATATTAACATCTTTCTTGTAATTTTAATTTTTGAACCAGAATCAACCTGCTCTAGAGTAGGATCGGTATAAGATACGTCAGGCATTTGTAGCTGCCCCAGGAAATTCCCTTGTTGTTGCAGATTATGGACAGGTAAGTTCATTCAGTTGGCTTTTGTTTTCATGTAATTTCATTATTGATTAGAGTATAAATTCTTATTACAGCTGGAGCTTAGGATTCTTGCACATTTGGCTGACTGTAAAAGCATGTTGAATGCCTTTGAAGCTGGTGGAGATTTCCATTGAAGGACTGCAATGAACATGTACTCTCATATACTTGAAGCCGTTGAAAGGGGTCAAGTTCTTCTTGAGTGGCATCCGCAACCTGGTGAAGAGAAATCACCAGTTCCACTCTTAAAGGTTAAAGTTAAACAAAGAAGAAAAACATTTCACTTTGCCCTGGTTTTATTTAACAGAAGGTAAAATATCTGATGACGAGGACTGTGCTTGAAATTATCCAAAAACCATCTTAATATATTGAACTAGTAACCTTTATCCTGGATACTTTTATCTATGACCGTGGTTCAAGTATGACCTAAATTGCTTTTTCAATTTGAAAGTTACAAGTATTTGATGTTTTATGTTGAAATCATTGTGGCATGCTCAACATACTTTATTCATAAATGTAGCAGGACATCGATGTATAGAAGTCTGCATATCTTGAGATGTTGCTACCTGATAGTTGGATTTGGTTTTGATTTTTGAATACAACTAGGTTGATTTTTTTTCCTCTTCATTTTAGGATGCCTTTGGTTCTGAAAGAAGAAAAGCTAAAATGCTCAACTTTTCCATTGCATATGGAAAAACTCCTGTGGGGCTTGCTAAGGATTGGAAGGTATCCTCGGAACCTAAAATATCTGTTGAAACTTAAAATTCATAAAACCTCCACGTTAATGATTGTTGAACCTCTCTTAGGTTTCTATTGAAGAAGCAAAGAACACTGTTGATCTATGGTACAAGGAAAGACAAGAAGTGCTTGAATGGCAGAAACTGCGTAAATTTGAAGCTCAGAAATTCTGGTGCGTTAAGACATTGCTTGGAAGGGCTCGCTGCTTCCCATCATTTGCTCATTGTACACGTGCTCAAAGAGGTCAAATTGAACGGGCTGCTATCAATACTCCAGTTCAGGTTGTTTTCTTTCTCATGCACTCAACTATTCGCTTTGTCTCTCTCCCTCTCTCATCTAGTTGAGTTTTACAGGGAAGTGCTGCTGATGTTGCAATGTGTGCAATGTTACAAATATCAAAGAATGATCGTCTAAAGGAGCTTGGTTGGAGGCTTCTTTTACAGGTACGCCCTTTATATTTTCATTCATATAGATTTCATTCGTTTAAGTAACAAATTTTGGACCATGCTGTCTGACTCTTCTTTCTGGAACTCAGTTCTCTTATCAATGCTTTGGTTACAACTTACATGTATTATTCACATATTTGAACATTTTGTCTTCATTCAATAAATAAGCATTGCATGAGTTATATTTGCTGGTCTGTCTTGTACGTCTTCTTAATCTCATTTCTTATGTTAGTTTAATTCAGCAAATTCTTGGGAATAACATTCTTTAGAAAACAGGTTCATGATGAAGTAATCTTGGAAGGACCAAGTGAGTCGGCTGAGATTGCGAAAGCAATTGTTGTTGAGTGCATGTCGAAACCCTTTGATGGAAATAACATTCTTAAAGTTGACCTTGCTGTCGATGCCAAGTGTGCCCAAAACTGGTATGCTGCCAAATAGACGGTGGTTTGAGTTCCAAACATGAATTTTTTTTTGGTTTCAAACACTTTCTTCCAAGACGCTATTTTCCCCCTGTTCTGAAGAGGAAGATCGGAGCTTGTGTCATCCTTGGCTGCTGCAGTAATTTAACGCACTGTACCTTCGGGATTTCATCCTCTGTTCAGCGATGTGGCCTTTGGGGTTCTTTGTGGATTCAGGTCGTAGTTTGTGGCTTTAGTCATTTTAAGGAGCATGGTGATTGCAGCGCCATATGTACAGAGAATATTGTTGCATTAGTTAGTTCATTGTAAAATTCTGATAACACTGATTCTTTTTTTTTCATCTCTCGAGTGAGAAATGTTGTTAAGCTTGATCTTGTTTCCTTTTATGTCATTCTTACTGTTCTATTGTTTTATACCTGTATTGTCCGAGCGTTTATAGTAATGTAAAATGTTAGAAGCATCAGCAGGTGTTAAAAATAAAACCATTAGAACATCCCTTATTTGTAAAAAAAAGCCACATCGGAGAGAGGTTTTTTTTTGGGTATAATCATCGGCATTCAATCTATTGATCAATTAATTCGGATCGGATATTATAAAGACAATGACGAACGTTTGAATTTATGACATTATTTAAGGAATCTAATGTCTTATACTATTAGACCAATTAGTTGTCTGTACAGCTGTCTCGTGTCGATTAAGGGGGAAATAGGTAAATCTGCTAAAATCTGGTTGCTTTAGCCCGCTTGACTATATTTGCATGTTGGAAACCCTTGTTTCCCTTTCATTTGACATGTCAGGTAAAATAAATGTACTGAACCAGAATCCTCATCAAGAAGGTTGCAAGAGCAACACAGGCTCCCAAAACCAGCAGAAATTACTGTCCCAGATCAATTCCACAGGCTGATGATAATTGCAATAGAAGCTGGCCAGCTCTTTCAACTTCATTTCCTAACACAACTTGGACCAGCTGAAACTTGAGAAATAAAGCAGCTTGAACTAAAATGATAAAAAGATCTTAAGAAGTATAACCAACAATTGATAGAAAACAAACTATACCACCATCTAACACTTGCACTATACTATATCTTAGAGGAATTTTGCTGCTGAAGGCCTCACCAACAGTTGATGCTCCTTGTTCCACACCGCAAGTTCAATCACTCCCAACGAGGGACAGAGATTCAAATAACGGAGGCTGTTACAAGTATCGCGGTCATATAAAATAATGGTCATGGAAAACACTGCTACCGTTATGTCACGGGTCGTAGACCGCCCTGCCCCCAACCTCTAGCGGGAAAAAAATCAGTAAAAGTTGGGGTCATTAAGTTCCAACCAAGAGACAAATCTCCTAAGATAATTTTTTTTTTGTTCACTAAAATCACTTAATAAGACCTGCACTTAAATTCATACTTTAACATGTGATTTCATCAACAAATACACAGGTGTGACTGAATCTCAAAACACCGAAAGTGGAACTATTGCTGATAATTCCTGATAGCAACACAACATAAAAGAAATTTTTTAAAAAAAGTAGAAGATCCAATTCAAACATCTATCTCTTCCCTCCAAACTTTTCGGTATCCTGCGATTTATCGTCGTTTCTCCGTTTCTTACTCCTCAATTTGTCACACAAGAATGCCTTCTCAAGCTGCTCCACCCTTTGGGTCAACGCGCACAGCATCCGAGTCTGCGTTTCGTTCCTCTCCGACAACTTCTCTATCAACCTCATCATCTTCTCGTTATCCTCCATTATCCTCTCTAACATCATCTCCTTCCTCCCACTTTCTTCCCCGCCAACATTTCCTTTCTCTTCCTTCTCATTTTCATCCTCTTCTTCAATTGTATTCTCATGATTGGCAAAGGAATCGACTCGACTAGTTTCTGACGCTTCCTCCTCATTCCCTTGAATTGCAGCAGCGGCAGTTCGTTCCGATTCACACGAATCAGGCAAGTGTTCAGCGTCATTGATTGTTTCCTCGAGATTTTCCGACTCCAGAGGTTGAATGCAATTATCAGAAGAATCGATATTATCTTGCCTTTGATCCACAACCTCGGCATTGCTTGATTTCACGGACTGATCACCGGAAACAATGGCGTCAACAAGCTCTTGCAAAGTAATCGCCTTCTTAATAACGGATTTCCTCAAATCCCTAACGCGAGAATCCACTCCACTCACGGAATCCAATTTAAAAAGCAAGCTCATCAGAATCTCGTTCACTTTCAATCTCTCCTTTGAATCACTCCGAATCAAATCCATTCTCTCTTTCTGGAGAACACTACGCTCGATTTCATTCACTTCCTCCCTTGTTGCCATGATCTTCTTCACGTTTTTTCGCACAAGAAATCCTCTAAACACCTTCTGGATCTTGATTGCCGAGTCGGATCTGCCCCGCTCCGAAGAGAGAAAGCGGACGGGGATGGATACCGTATTGGGCTTCAAAGATTGGACCGGCGAGGCTTCGGGCATGACCTGAACCGGGACCCCTCTGAAGCCTCTCCCGTAGCGAGGGCGAGACGATACATTCCATGGATATTGAGGAAAAGGGAAGTCCATATGTTGGCTTTTGAATGAATTAACAGGAAATTTACTGGTAATCTTTCCCTCTTCTAACTCACAGTGTGATTAAAATTTTGTACTTGCTGGGCTGATAACAGAGAGAGGGAGAAACGAAATATATAGGAGAATGCAATTCCAGAAGAGAAAAGGTAGGATCGGGAAGTTACTGGAACATTCTGGCGAGAATTTTTCTGTTTCCATTTTGCCATAAAGCCAATGAGATTTTCTCGTTGACGAGTACACGAGGTTTTGGATCCTTCTGGATAATTATCGATTTTTTCTATTTCTTGAACTAAACTCTTGTTTGGAGGGGTTTAAATACTTGTAAAGTGTACCCCTGGTCATCGACTATAAAATAACTATAAAATATTTGAGTATATTAATTATTAAAAGTTATAAAATGATCTTTTGAGTATAGAAAGTTTTGTTGAGTCTTTCGATTATTAAAAGTTATAAAATGATTATTTGACTATTTATTATGTTTTAAACTCGTCATTTTTCATTAAAAATTAACGTTCATCTGAACTAAACGTTAATATGTTGACTGAGATATGATAATCATTTAAGATTATGAAATCAAATTTTATTATATATCGGTTAGCAGGTTAGCGTACAGCTCAAATTATCATATAAATTTTAATAAAAAAAGATAAGTTTAGAAGATAATGAATAGTAAGATGATTATTTTATAATTTTTAATAGTCGAGGGACTTAATAAAATAATTTTTATAATTAATGGATCATTTTATAATTTTTAATAATTAAGGAACTCAATAAAATCATATACTGTAGTCGAATTATTTTTGTATATTTTACCTTTAAATGTAATACAAATATTTTTTTTTGATAAATATTTAATGAATATAAATATTTTAATCTAATTTAATCATTTTTAACATGGTAGAACTGTTTGTATGTATATACACGCACGTTAATTTAATACATTCATGATCAAATGCAAGATCAAATATTACAAGTAGGTGTCAGAGTAGGTCAGATCAGGTCAGATTTTAAAAGGTCTGAGTCTGGCCAACGATGAATTTTTTAGGCATGAGCCTAGTCTATAGCCTATCAAAAACTTTTATTTTAACTCGGTCTGACCTTTTTAAAAGTTTGGTCTGATCTGATAACCTTTTTAAAAGGCTTTTTAAAACTTTCGCTTGGATATATAATTTCTGGGTGGGAAAAAACGTAAAAAAAAAAATTTAAAAGGAATTAAAAATATAGCTAAAATAATTGTTGATACCCACACCTTAATATCATGCTTGCCACGATTGTATTCCCCTCCCTCGGGAACCATGTAAGTTGCCTAGGAATGAATGGATTTAAAACATTGTGGTATGCCAAAGCATTCTTTCTAAGCTTTTCTTGATCTTTTGAAATACAATCATTTTATTTGCATATTTCTATACTATTCTTAGTTTCAATGTGGTCCTAATTTGCAACATTACGCCTTTGTTTGTTTTTCCTTCCCGAAAACAAAGGGAGTTTTAAAAGGCTTCGACCAGGCCACATATATCATTCTCGATGAATCTCATGAACGTGTGTATTCCACCAAGGTTTGTGTCCCTATTCAACAAGCTATGCCTTTATTACTATTTTTTCATTTAATCTTTGGCACTTGGTTTATTGAAGAAGCAAGAGGCTGTTCCTCATCCTAAATATAATATAATTCGACCCTTGGATCATTCCTTTCGTTATTATTGCAGAAGTGTCGTCGGTGAAGTAGATGAAGAGCTTGATTCTGCTCTCGACTTGTCAAACGTTAGAGCACATCCTCTGAAGCCTGTTATCCATTGATCGAACAAGGAAAGTTTGTAGAGTTGCTAAGGACGGCACGTTGGATTAAGTTCCAAATATGATGATGAGAAACCGAATGTGTATTGATTTTTGGATGCATATCTATGTCATATTTCAGGGGTACAAGTGTTAACTGCGTTCGTATTGATCATGAACTGGTATGGAAGGCAAAAAAATGAAATGCAATTTCTACTCAGGACCCCATGTGATGTTTGCCAATTCAACTGAAAATAAATCAACTTTCTGATTTGTGGAGCTTGGCATGTGTACAAATGAATGACTTCTTGTATCGATCGATCATCCGAAGAGACTGTCGTTAGGTTTTCATGGGGGAGCAAGCTATAGAATGCATTTGTCTTGTCACCTGCATTGCTTCCGGTCTCTTTTGAAGGAAGATCAGTTGTGTTTTCTGTTGTAGAAGCTGGCCTTTTCACAGATACAAACGCCACTTTCATGTATTATACATCAATTTTAAACCATCGAGCCAGCAGAAGGTTCAATTTTGAACAACAATATCATGTAATAACAGTGTTATCTACTTCCTCTGCAAAATTTTCAACATGTCCTCCTTGCTATAGGTATAAATAAATAGAGCATTCGATAAAGTATTTGTAAATCTTTTGTATAATAAATAAGTATGAACAAAAATTTTATGTTCATTTAATAAATGAATAAACATGAATAGAGATATATTCGGTTCGTCTATGTTCGCAGATAAATTTGTTTATCGACTCTATTATAAGCTTGTTCACCGGTTTTTTCTTTTAATTTTAATTTTTTTTTACATTTTCAATATTGATGAAAGTAGAGACTAAATTGAATATAGGGTGAACTTTGGAATTCAAACTGTGAAGCTAAAGGACTAATGGTGTGATTTCATCATTTTTTAAACATATAAATGAACATGTTCGTAAACGATAAACAATGTGATGATGAACGTTATACAAATATGTTGGCATAAACGAATATGTATGTGAACATTAAATAAATATATCCACGAACACTAAATGAACTGGACACGATCACATTCAAAAACAAATAAATGAACACGGACACAATATTAAAATTTTAAATGAACACTAATCAAATACAATCACTTTTAAAAATAAATAAATAAACACAAATATAATTTTTTTCATTTGATCCGCTGTTAAAAAAGTATATTTAAATTATATAAAAATTTAAAATTTTCAAGGATACAACCATCTCTTAACACACCTCAATTCATCTCTATTTAAACGTATACATTTAATGTCATCACCAATATTTTTCTTAATCAAATTCTAGATTAAAAAAAGAAGATAAAATACATAAATAGTCTCCCAACTATAGAGCGATGTTTTGTTAAGTCTCCAAACTATTAAAAGTAACAAAATAGTCTTTCGACTGTAGGACGTTGCTTTGTTGAACATAGGAATAGTTGAGTGACCAAATTAAAAATTCTAATAATCAAGAGACTCGACAAAACAACGTCCTCTAATCGAGAGATCGTTTGCATATTTTACCGCTATAAAAATTGTTCAAAACCATAATTAAGAAAACCATATTATAATGGTAGTAATTAAGGTAACATTTCGTTTAAATATTTTTGTAATAATTGTTTAATAATTACAGTTTGGTACTAGATAAGTGGTTCTGGTCCGAATGTCAAATATGGTCCCTCCCACTCGTAGGGCACTCATTTACCAAACGGATAATATATATAATTAATTAATTATATTTCAATGTTTTCTCTTTGGACAAGGACCTTTCATTGTTTGATTACCAATTTTTAATATTTTGAAACATGGATTAGTGTAGATGTTATGAGAGATTAAGAGCTAAAATACCCACATTTTTTAATGGAACAAAAAATTAATACTATAATTTTGACCATATATGTCAATAGGTAGATTGTAGTTGTAGATGAAGAATCGATGGAAGAGAAAATCATACATAACATTTAGTTTTCATTTTATTTTAGTATCCCGTCGTTAAAAATTGAACGTGTTTAGTACTTACACTCGTAATTTTGGTCCGTTTCAGTACCTAAACTTTTGATTTTTTTCAAATCTAACATTAACTTTTGAATGAGAGTACTAAAATGATACAAAATCTAAAATTTTTAACTTCTGGTATTAAAGAGAAGCAAAAACTAAACTTTAACTATGTTTTTAAAAAATTAAAAGTTTAAATACTAAAATATACTAAAATTGATAGTTCAGATACTAAATGCGTATTTTGCTCTAATATCAAATATGTTATATCCTGTTAGACTAAACTAAAGGAAGGATTATTTCCTGATCCTTAAACTCAGAGATAAATTTTAAGTTAATCCTTTAACTTAAAAATATTTTGAACAAATCCTTAAATTATTAATATAGTTTCAATTATATCCTTCCATTCCTAATCCTTCAATTTCAATAAATCATTTACCAAAGCTGATTTTTTCGATTAAAAAAATAGAAATAAAATAATATGATATAATTCATGTGAAATTTTGAACACATAATGTAATCTCATTGATATTTTTTCCAACCATATTTCCTAATGAAAATTTGATTGGGTAGGTCGGAACTAGAAATTTATTATAGCAAAAGTTAAAATATTTGTTATTTGTTAATAAATATTTTTTTTAATTGAAGGGACCTGATAAATTTATTTATTTATTTTCTAAAAATATACATTTTAATATTAATTAATACTTAAAAATATAATTTAGCTTTGGTAAATGATAAAAAATACAAGTTCGGAAACTAACCTACACAAAAAAGGGTCTAATGATCAAATTAGGAAAAGCTATTTAATCACCTATATGTTACATATTTTTGTTTTGGTCACCAAACTATATTTTTCAAAATCATACATAGAGTTATGTTTCATTTCTATTTTGGCCACCCACTATTAGGTTCGATGATTGGCTTAACGGAAGTGGTGATGTAGTATTGGTATTATAACAATTTTGATCCACGAAACTTACACATTATACCAATTTGATGTTAATTCGAAAATTTCACGATATTTAAAAATTATATCAATTTGGTTCTCATTTTAACTTGTAATAATTAAGTAGCCTACTTTCAAAATTGTGGACCTTCCTTTTTATTTGAATTTATCTTTGTCCATCATCCTACGTTCTCTATGGCTCCCACCACCGTCTTCACATCGTCGTCCGACGAGTCCCCCAAACCCCTATCGCGACTTTGCTCACCATCACCATCGCAACGACGTTACCACTCATATGATGATTATCCCATACTCCCATTGTAGTTTTGCTCACCATTGTCATCACAACAATGTCTCCCCATTTGTCATATCATCGTTCTTCGGCAAAATACGTCTTTCATACACAGACTTTTTTTTTTATCGTTTTTATCAGTTTTCTCTCCCTGTCTATCGCTCTCATTGTGGTCCGTCCTGGCCCCAAGTTCATCAAAACCTAATTTTCAAAATCGATCCAATAACTTACGAGGGAAGATTGAGTCATGTGGTTGTATGGTCTAATCAACGTTGCAAGGGGTCAACAAAGAACAACAATGACGATCGGGATTTTAGAGAGGGGTTTTGGGATTTTATGTTGGCCAAATTGACGGATTTCCAAATATTGAAGATTTTTTGAATTATTTCGAATTAAGATCAATTTGATAAAATGTACAAATTTCGAGCACTAAAGGATTATTATACCATGTCATATCACTAGGTGAGTCGAGTCAACTATTAAACCTAAAGGCAAGTGACCAAAATAAAAACGAAACATGACATTAGGTGATCAAAACAAAAATATGATAATAAACGGGTGACTAAAAATAAAATTAAAAATATTATTTCATGTGTTTTGTATTATGTTTATGTTATCTACTTTCTGATTTTGTCGTGTTCTGCATCGTTCTAATTATTATTATTATTATTATCACAGATAGTAAAATCGACCGTCTATGGCTATTCAAACACCACCTAACAGGAAACTTTAAACAAATAACATTGTTCTTGTTCTTATTAATGATCATATGGGACCTTAATCCTTGTTTATTCAATCAGATTCCCCTCTGACCTGCAATAAAGCATAAACAAACCCAGCGGCCTTCCTATCACATTGTTTATAGTCATCTGTGTTGCACGAACCCCTGGTTTTTCTCAAGCTTTTGCCTGCAAAAACGATCGAATGAACATTGTTTAATGATAATGAAAACCAAGCAAAGAACAAACTCGTTCTTGTTAAATGAAATCGGTCCATACAGTTCAACTGGTACATTCAAATACCAAAGATGTGGACCTTGTAATGGAATCTAGTGCCAGTCTGTGCCAGTTTCGACGTCAATGGATATATATTTTCAGTTAGTACCAGATTCAAAAGATTACACCGAGTAGGGGTTAATAGACTGTCCCACAAACAGACCAAAGACACCGAACATGAAAGTGTTTTTATAACATAAAGCTGTTGCATGGTTCTTAGTTACGTATGATTACTCACCTGAGAATACAAGAAGGTTCCAAGGATAGCGATGGCGGCTCCAAGAGCATTGACTGGCTGGACAGGCGTGTGGAAGATGATGATGGACGACACTATAACAGATATACGTTTCATGGTGTTGCCAATGCTAAATGTCAAGGGAGAGATCTCATCGAGGGACATGTATGAGACCTGGTTGTAGAGATGATAGAAAATACTTTGGGCTGCTACCCACCTATCAAATATGATCGAACCCACAATTTTGTTACCAGACGGGTGTCGTTAAAGAGTATCTAACGAAGAGAACCTAAACATTGCAGTTCTTGAGAAAAGGAAGAAAACTGAAGAGAAATAATATAATGTAGTATGAGCCTAGCTGAATCTTTAATGAAACTATAATCGATTATGAATGGTTCAGTTCAGGTTATATGTGACTCGAGGCATAAATTCACTAAAGATTAATCAAATTCGATGTATAAATCATCCAATTGCATCAGTTCTTGAAAAGGAGCATCGAATTCAAGATCGATGGCATTCCATCATCTATTTGTGGTTCATATTAAAGATAGAACAAATACGTATTCACTAACAAATTCGTAAATGGATGATGGAGTATCAAACTTTTGATTAGTTTATCTAATGAGTGCAAAGCATCTGGAAGAGTAGGATGAATAAATCCAGACAGTAGTAAGCGAATGGAAACAGAACAAGGAACTACAACTTAGTATTTCATGTTATTACCAGATGAACTGTGGTCCAATTTGAGATAAAGCTGTTTCCCATCCTGCAGCCCACATCTGCGGTCCCTCCACAGCAATTGCAAAAGGTGTGAGAATTACGAGAGACAACAAAGATAGACAGGCATAGTAGTTCATCCCGCTAACGGATTTCCCCTTCATGCCCTTCTTCGAGAATATGTTACGGAGGACAAATGCCAAGTTCGATATCATAGCTCCCATAAAACCTGAAAACATGGAGTGTTGATTAAAACTATAATCTTAAATGCCAGTTGGGACCCTCAAGCAACGTAAAAATCCAAACCAAATTACCAGCTAAGAGAACACAAACCAGGATTAAAATGAAAACGAAGACCATATATTGAACATTCATAGGCTTGGTTGTTAATAAAACCGAGGTTAAAACGAATTTCGTAGGAAAAGACTGCTTGGTATGGAATTATGGAGAACATTCACCTTATATAAGAACACAACAAGAGAAATTTGTCTAACAGAACTCCTGAAACATAAAAGAAGAGATTACAATGTTTTACCAGTCATATTGAAGTTGAGTTCGGTTAAAGCGGAAAGAGCACAACCGCCGATGATTGGAATAAGGGACAGGTAAACCGAGAGAGGGAAGGTCTCCCCGAGCAAGAACCTGGAAACCAACACACTGAAAGCAGGTTCACCACTCTTGATAATGTGGGTGAATGAAACTGCAACCTTAGACATGCTCACTGTAGCTGCTACATGTCCAATTGTATGTGCCACAGCAACCTATGAACAAAATGTAAACCCAGAAATTCATTAGTATTGCAATCAGACAAACTTCAATTTCTGCAATTCTAACATTTTCCTTCAATACAGTCCAAAACAGAATAAAAGAACATCAATACCTAAAGAAAACAAAAATCCCAAAAACGCAGCTTTCAATCTTTTTCTCTCACTTTCTCAGCAACCAAACAAAAGGTGGGGGAAAGAAAGTAACTCACCGGGAACAAAGTCTTCCAAAACTCAAAATCTGTTTTTGGTGCCTCAGCAATCCTTGTAGCCCATGAAATTAACATCATCAAAGAACCACAGGCAAGGGACAAAGTCGAGGTCAACCAAGGGTAAGGGTAAGCATTCAAAACCTTCTTGTTATAAATATTGAAAACCACGTTTAAAGCCCACCAGGTTGCAAAATAAACCCCGATTTTCACCCTGTTTGCACCTTCCGCTTTCACTTGCCCGGCTGCGTCAACAGGCTGTGACTTGTCGGCTTCATAAGCCTTGCATATGATCACCGGCTTTTCCCCCTCGCCGATGCTCGAAATTGACGATATATGCAGTGGTTTCGACACTGAAAGATTGGTTCTTTTGGGGCTGTTTCGAAGATTCAAAGATGGTGAAAAGGAATGTCTGCAAATTGTTGAAGGTGGTGACCTTTTGTGAATCGAGACATCGATGCATGACGTCAAAGCAGATTGCTTGAAGCTAAAACTCATTATTTTCCCAATTCAAAGAGGGTGTTCTCGAATCAATGATCAAAGGTTTGAGGGAATTACAATGAAAAACTCAAAAGGGTATTTCTTAGTACTCGAACAAGGATCAAGAAAAGACAAATAAAAACTACAAGTTGGAAACAAGGATGGCGGCGATTGCAAAAAATACGTAGTGATCAACGATTACACAAGCAAATTTTTTTTGGGGTAAACGAATTTTCTCTTCTTTTTTGGGTTTTTTAGAAAAGGTTTTATTTAATCTAGAGAGGAGAAAGTTTGCTTAAGCTCTGAAATCTCAGTCAAAAACTGTTCTTTTCCGGTGGTTGAAAGACATAAAACACAATAAACACTTTGGTTTCATTTCATGTGAGCTTCCCACAGTTTTTTTTTTTTTTTTGGTATTAAAGTATTTGAATTCACTTTCCCTAATGGAAAAAGTCGTTTTGTTCCTTGGTTTGCGAAGGTTTGGCTTGAGAGCCACAGTATTTGTGATTACACCATACGAGCATACAAGTCAAGTATGAATAAAGTAGGGTTTATTCTAAAATTACAAGTACTAGTTTTTCCCACTAAAATAGTTCTCTATTTTTATTTAAATCACTAAAATAGTTCTCTATTTTATTTTGTTTAAATAATGTTCTAATATCGTCATCTCTTTTATTATTATTATTTGTTTAATTTTTTCAATTTAAGTTTAAAATTTATTTTAATTTTCAGAAATATTTATTTTTATGTCTTTATGACACAATTATTCTTGTATTTTTATGACATGATTTTATATATTATTATAATAGTTTAGTGTTTTCCTTGCATTCTTCATAGTGCACATCTCAATCAAGAAAGGTCGATAGGGATGTCAAAAAAATCCGAATTCGATGGAAAAAATCGAAAATAGAATTAAACAGGGACGGAGAAAATCGTTTATGCTAATCAGGGATGGAAAAAAATTGTTTATTTTAAACGGGGATGGGGACGGGTTTAGTAATCCCCGCCCCGATTACCCGGCCCGATAAATATTAAAAATAATTATTATATATATATATATATATATATATATATAATATTAATAAATTTAATTTAAATTAAAAATATATATAATATATATATATATATATATATTTAATTTAAATATATATACCCGACCCGATATCTATTTAAATAACTGTTTATGCTAAACAGGGATACCCGTTTCCCCGCAGTTTTCTCTGATTATCTGATGGGGATCCCCGTTTAAATCCCCGCAGTTTTTTAAGCGGTGACGGGTACGGGTTTTTTAAACGGGGACAGGGGACCAATCCCCGGCCCGAAACTGCCCTGTTGCCATCCCTAAAGGTAGATGATCTTGTATAATTAAATTCATTTTCGCGATAGTTTGTCGATGCATTTAGAATTAGGAATGATAATGGATCGTGTTTTTGGTCAACACAATTCAACCTGGCCTGAAAATTTTACATCAAATATCTGACCCGATCTGATTTGAAAAATATATATTCTCCACCGACTCCGATCCGACCCCCATTTTTTAGAATATAAAGCAAATTAAGGATTTAATTAAAAAATAATAAAATTTTAAATAAAATTACATTATTATCCTTGTGTTGGGTTAGATTGGAGTTTTTTACCTTCCACCGACTCGACCTGACTTCACCCCTAAAAAATCTAACCCAACCTGAACCAAATTTTTTTTATAAAAAAAACTGACTTGAATCGGGTCAAATCGGGTCGAAACCCGTCAGATGCAGGTGAAATTGCTATCTCTATTCAAAACCATTCACGGAATAATTCGTTATATTAGTTCAATCAATTTCTACATATACATAAATATTACGTAAGTAGTATCTTATTATAACTTTCTTAACCAATTGACAACACACAACCAGCAAACATAGTTGCTCAAATTCAAAAACTATGAAGAACAACATTCCTTTTTATTAATGAGGTCACTTGATAGATTCAACACAAAATTATTTCTAAAAATACATAAAATATTCTCTTTGTTCCATTAAATATGTTTGTTATTGACTTTTTTTGTCAATTCTTTTTATTCATTATTATTTAAAATTTATTAGTGAAAAAAATGAAAAATATATTTTAAATCAATTAGTATTTAAACTACGATTTAATATATATATATATATATATATATATATATATATATATATATATATATATATATATATATATATATATAATATATATATATATATATAAATTTAGTAGTTCAAAATATTTAAAATAAGGTTAAATTACCTATTTGATAACTGAACTTTCATGCAATTTCTATTTTACTCACGTACTTTTAAAATTTTCAATTTTCTCACTGAACTTTATACATTAAATTTTTTGTCACTCTGTCGTTATATCACTAACATCACGTTGACGTGATTTATTTTAATATTAAAACTCAGTCACATAAGATGACACATAAGATTTCTATTTAATAAAATAAAAATTAATCAGGCAAAAAAAAACCTAACCCCTAAATTTACACCCAAAAACAAATACCAAACCCTAACCAAATATACAAATTAATCAGGCAGCCATCAAAATCCACAAGCTACTCTAATGGAGATCTTACAAACTTATTCCAAGAACCAAACAATCACAATAAATCATTTTTGTTCTCTCTCAAATCCAAAAATGAAAATACCAAAAAAACAAAGAGGAAGAAGAAAAAGAATAAAGAGGAAAAATAGAAACAATAAAAAGGATGAAAATACAAAATAATCGTTTTTTATTTTCCTTGCACGCTTCCACAACTTCAACAGTAGAGAAAATGAAAATGAGAAAAATGGAAATGAGAGGATGAAGAAGAAGAATAAAGAGAGAAAACGAGAAAAATGAAGAAAAAAAGAAAAATAATTTTTTATTTAGACCAAAACAACGTTGTTTTAGTCAAAATTTAAATGTTTTAGAGATCCAAAACTACGTCGTTTTGGTATAAATTTCCACGTCATAACGTCGTTAATGATTTAACGACGGAGTTACTAAAAAAGCAAAATGTATAAAGTTCAGTGAGCAAATTGAAAATTTTGTAAGTACGATAAGTAAAATAATAGTATTAAAATATGTAATTTACCCTTAAAATAATCGTATTAAAGTTAAAAATTTTAACTTTTAAAAAATTAATAAGGTACTATTTTAATGAGAAGAAGGGAATATCATTTAGTAATAAAATTTTAATTATCTGTCTACCTACCAATTATTCTCTTTATTATGTTACCAATTATTTGATTTTTGTTTTTATTATATTTTTAATTGTTCGTCTACCATCTAACCATATTTCTTAAACTAAATAAATATTAACCAATTATTAAGTTTCTTACACGAAAATAATTTATGCATATATATTTCATGTGTGAAACAGTATTAAGAATTTGATTGCTTGTAAAGTAATGAAATTAATGGTATTGATTTTACAGGTAATTAATTGATAGCTAATTAATCTATTGCTATATTACGCTTGTTAGTTACTGCAGTTGTTTTTTCGGTAACAATTGTTTAGAGAACGGAACCTGGATTCGAGGATATACTAGGAACATCGGCTGTCGTTCTGACGCCCAAGCCGAGCTCTGGACAATCTTCGATGGTCTGTAGTTGCTATGTCCTGTTGTTCTCGTGTTTTGGATGTTCCAAAGAATGTTCATCTTCCGAATTTAAAGACTCTTCATCTTTCAAATGTTTGCTTTTCGAATGACGATTCATTTAAAAGTCTCTTATCCGGCTGCATTAGTCTTGAAGATATGGTCATACGGGGTCGCTGCTTAAACTTCAGTCTTTCACATCATTTTCTCAAGAGATTGACTATAGAATCGTGTGGTTATTTTTCCAGTTGTGAGATTATAATTGATACCCCAAATATAGCCTACTTTAAATGATCCAACCCTAATGGAACAAGGTTATCACAAGAGAACATGCAATCCGTTGTCGAAGCAGATATTGACATAGACCCATATGTCGTTCTTCAAGCCGATGCAATGGCAGTTTTTACAGGGATCTCTAATGTTCATTCACTTCTTCTGTCAACTAGATCTCTGGAGGTTTGTTTTTCCCTAACATATCCTTAATCTTATTTCTATTATCAAAAGTCATGACTAGAGTTCTCACTATTTTAGGTTCTGTTAACCTGTGATCCGCTTCCTATTTTTGCTAACTTGGTCGAACTGGAGATACCTTATTGTCCTGATCATAAGGAATGCTCGATTTCAACGAATAAAGGACTCGAAACACTACTGACAAGTTCGCCCGAGCTAGAAAAACATAGCTTTTATCAGGTATTATTCTAGGTTTAAGCTTTGATTGAAGTTGCAAACTCTTTACTGATTCCTTTTGTATGTTGTGATTATAGGAATTTCTCTGTTCTCTGCCTGAGGAAGTGCCTCATTGTTTGTTGTTCAGACTCAAGGTGATTGAAGTTTCAGGGTTTATGAACTATGGAAATTATATTGAGAAGGCAAAATATATCCTAAAGAACGGTGGAGCTCTAGAGAAGTTGACAATACGAACAACACCAAACGTTTCTCAGGCAGAAAGATTGAAGATATCCCAGGCGTTGTCGGGCTGTCCGAGGAAAGCGCAACAATGCTGCGTTTTGGTTCTCTGTCACTCGTATTGTGGCTGTGAAATCGATGAAGACGATGCAATTGCACTTGGAAAATGGAATTGGGACTATCATAGAATGGTTTACTTTCACAATAAGTCATAGATGGAATTATGAAAATTATTTTTATTTTTATTTTTTTAATAGAAACGAGCTAACAAATTACATCAAGAACGAGTGTAAGGAGGCCCCTCGATGTCTCCCATGGAGTTAGTTGAGTTTATGACTATGTCATTTAAATTTCATTTTGTATTTTTTTTCCCGAATTGAGTTGATCCGAGTACATTTATTTGAATGTATGTTTAAATTTTAATATAATTATTTAATATGTTATGGTACTATTGGGGTTTAATTTAAACAATTCTCTCTCTATGTATTTATAATATTAATTTTGAAGATAAAACATAAAAAGAATGTAAAAGAGTCAAGAAATTAATGGAAATAAATAATTTAAAAAAATATAATTGAAAAACCAAATTAAATAAAATACAAAATTGATGGACCAAAATTAAATAGAATTATATTAAACAAAATTTAAAATGATATTTGAGTGATTGAGGAGTACATGCTTTAAATTTAAGG